CCCTCCTCCCTCCTCCCTGATCTGTGCTCCTGTGCTTGGGCGGGTTTCTTCCTTCGTTCCTTGCTATTTCTTCTACAGGTGCTTTCTTCCCTTTTACCTGCTTCTCCCTGACAAGCGCTTTCCCTAGCTGCAGCCTCCCTCGACCTCACCGCATACCTGGCCTCGGGTCCCTTCCTGGCTTTTTTTGTTTGTTTGGTTGGGTTTTTTCGGTACTGGGGATCGAACTGCGGAGCTTGCACTTTCGAGGCTGGAGGCAGGCAGCGGAACCACTGAGCTGAATCCCCGGCCCTCCTTCCTGGCTTTTTACAGTCCCTCAACATTACTTTCCAGTCAGCCCTCCATTGCCTCGCAGACATCTGTATTGCAGAATGTCTGGGAGAAGAGGGTAAGCTGGGGCAGCTGCCTTTCCCGGGGTGCCTGGGTCTCAGAATCTCCGCATCTGCCACTGTCTTGGTTTCTATCAATATTAATTAATGTGACTATTCAGAAGTGTTTGTCAAACACTAGCTAGCACTGTTCTAAGGCCTTGTGTGCATTAATATTCATTTTAAATCCTCGTATCCCTGTAATGCAGAATCTATTATTGTCCCATTTTACAGATGAGAAAGGAGGGAGTCAGACCAAGTAGGCAGTAAACTGAGTTTCTCCTGCTTTTCTTTCTGCTGTGTGGTGATAGGAGGCATACATCTTCCATGCCACTGAACCTCTTGAATTCAGACCTGTCTGGAGTCCAGCTGTGAAAATGAGGTCATGATTTGACATGTTGTGTTTAGTCTGCAGTGTACACCAGTTGAGGGCACAAATTCTGGGCCCATAGAACAGCGTATGGGGAAACTGAATGCCTGGTGACCTTCAGAAAGTCTGGGGATGGTGTTGGGCTATCGATTCTGCTTCCCTGTCTACTGCAGGAAGCCAGGAAGAAAGTAGCGTATAAAAGACCATTGCCAGCCAAGTCCTGGGCATTGAAAGTTTGGTTTCACTTTAACTGGATGGACCTTGGGGTCCCTGAGAGCTGAGTGATTTTATAAGTCTTGTTTATTTGTTTTCTTGTGTAACCTTGAGGCCTTGATCAAATATTTCCTTGTTAGTCCTCACTTTCCTAATAGTTGGAGGCTAGTATTTGTGAACAGATACTCTTACAGATACGGAAGTAGAGTGTTGGTGAAGTTCCACACTTGGATACCTGGAAGGAACCTTCCACTCCACAGCCAAGGAAACAATGGCCTACAGAGAGAAATGAAAGGACATATCTAAGGGAAGAAACCAAACAGTAGATCCCATAGCCTCAGGACCCTGGTCTTTGGACTGTGCCCAGTCCATGTTGAAAGCAACATGAACTGTCTTTCCTTTTATTTTTTGAGCTAAGAAGCATCAGAATGATTTACTTAGAGTAGAAATCATCAGTGGTTTTCTTTCTCTTTTTTTTTGCCTGAAAGCTTAACATTTAAAAAATGTTTGCTTTTCAGACATGTAATGGCATAATTGGGATCATAACATCATAGACATATACATTCAGATGTTTTGGGAAGAACTGTTATTTCCAAAACACCAAAAAGGAACACCAAAAGAACATGGCTCTCTGGAGGCAAACCATATGGTAATAATAATTTGAAAATCAGTGACTGGAATGTTTACTTCTTTTTCCCTCTGCAGGGGAAATACATGAATACAAAGTGGGTACGTGATTTTTCTCTGTCACAGATCAAACAGCAGTGAGGAGGAGAGCTAGTCTAAGACAGAGGCAGGGGACTGTTCCTTCTGTTGGCCTCTGTCTGCCTCTGCCCTTCTCTGGGCTCTTGCCTGAACCATCCACAATGATTCCCAGCGCTGTCAGGGAGACTCGAGAATGCCATTTGCCCATGGTGCCCAGCTCCTTCCAGATCAGCCTTTCTAAACAGAATTAAATCCTGCTGTCATGACTTCACAGTTCTCTTAGACGTCTAGAATGCAGCGGGTAGCCTCTGGTTCAGATGAGGGTCGTTGTAATTGAGCACTGTTCCTAAGTGGCATAGAAGTCCAGAGAGACACTCAAGCCAAAGCCCTGTCATCAGCAAGACTGAGGCTTGAGAGCAGGGCTGCCTGGTTTAGGATATCCCTGTGCATCCTTCTATGTATGGGTCCCTGTAACCTGTGAATCCCCGAGCAGGAAATCATCTGAGCCCTTTATAAGGTAGATGATTTTTGCTTGCTGAGCGGAAGAAAGAGCCCACGAGGAGAGAGCAAGACCCTTGAGCCTGAGGGCCCAGCAGAGCTGCAGGTCCTTTCCTGGCCCTCTCCCAGGTATAGATGTTGCTCTCTGTGCCATGTGAACCCTGGGGAGCTGTGGCTTGCTGCAGAATGCAGAGAATGGTGTGTGTCCTTTCCACTTGGTTCTGGGAATTTGCTGTGATTCAGATGGCAACATTGGTGGATACAAGTAATAACCCATCTCGTGGTCTTGCTGTTAGGACATCATCTCACCTAACCAGGACCTCCAAGGACTCAATTTCCTGGTCAGGAAACACTTCTCTTTCCCTGGTGCAGGGGCCCTCAGTGTCTGTGTGGAACATGTGTAGCTGATACATGGTAATTTCAAGGACCTTATGTCTGCCTCAAAATATCTCCCACTCACTTGTACCTCATTTTCTGGAGTCAGCCACAGGACTGGGGAATTCAAAGAGGATTCTGGGACAGGGAAGAACTAGCCTGTCCCCTTATCCTCTGTTAACATGGAGACAGTTTCCCAAGACGAGCAAGCTGTCCCTGGGGAAAAACAGAACACAGGCCTGCAGTGGCCAGACTGGAGTGTTTCAGTGGGTCTCTAGCCCTATAGGGCTATCTTGGCTATCTTTTATGTGCCAAGGCTGTGTGCAAGATGGGAAATCCGTAGTTGGAAATAGCCCCCACTTTCATGATGAGTTCATGCATTCTTGTCTAGTGGGAGTGGTGGATGTACAGAAAGCTAAGTAGTGAGAAGTACAGTCAGTGTAGCAGTCAGCTTCTGCTAGGGATGTTAACCGAGTAGGTGCGAGTTTTAAGACCCAAGAAAGCTTCCTAGAGGAGGAAAGAGAGCAGGCAAGTAAAATGCTGACAGTGGAGACATTCCAGCTTCTGGAGACTGCATAAGCAGAGGTGGGAGACAGACTCCTGCTTGGTGATGCCAGGACCCTCAACAGTTCCCTATGGCTGCACCTCCCGGCTTGTCATCGTGACCAAGTCTGTGTACCAAAGGCATGATTCTAGCATTGACACCTAGGAAGGTCTCGTTAGAAGACCAAACTCTTGGGCTCCTTCTCCCACCCCAGATGTACTGTTTTAGAAATGCTGAGGGTGCATCCCAGCAATCTGAGCTTTGAAAAGCTTCCAGGGTGATCTTCATGCACAGCAACGCCCGAGAGACACTGTTCCAGAGCTCCTGGTTTCAAGAGGTCGTAGTATCTTTGTACTTTTTAACCATTTTTTTGTGGTGCTGAAACTTCGCACATTCTAGGCAAGCGATGTACCGTGAGGCCACACCCCAGCTCCTGAATAACTATTCTTCTTGCCACAGGAACAGCTGTGCAGAGAACCGCAACCTTGTTGGGAAGGGCATGTTTCCCCTCAAGTTGACAGCCACCCACATTTCACGCCTGACTCTTCTCCAGGGTGCATCCTCAGTCATTTGCTCACCCTGGTTCATGTCACTGCATCCTAAAGTTCTCCCTTATTTCTATACTGCCTCCTGCTGCCACAGTTTCTTTGTGTTTAGCAATCATCTGGCAGCCAGGGTTGTGTCTGCTGTTTACCAACTGTGTGACCTTTTGAAAGTCTTAGCTTCTCCATGCCTTAGTCACCATATCTGAAAAATATAGATACTTCCTGTCAGTCTGTTCCTATAACAGACTGGGTGATTTATAAAGTGCCAGAGGCTGGGAGGGTCAAGGCCAAGACCCAGCTATTCGATGCCTGGTGAGGGCCTTCTTGCTTTGTCCACCCATGGTAGAA